TGCAGATCTTCTGCCTTGGCTCAACAACAATTCGAACGTTGATTTGTGTGCATTTTTTGTGGCCAGAATCATCTGCTGCTTTCTTTTTGGCCAACTTAGCTGATGATGCGAGAGCCAACTAATGAAGTTTGGCTTTGTCTTCATTCTCGTATTGTTGTTGTTGTTGTTGGTGTTTTCGTTAGCGTTTCTGAAGTTTTGTTATTACATATTATATCTTCGCCAGCCTTTGTGCAGTTCAGCGAACTTTTGTTGTTGTTGTTTGTTGTTCGAAATGCTACGATGTTTCGCTGATGTCGCAACTGCTAAAATTAGTCTGAATTCTCAAAATTATTTTTCTTTTATGCTGTTTTCTTTTTTTTTTCTATTAGCGTAGGTCATGCTGTTATTTTATCTTATTTTTGTCCATTTCTTGCAGATTTCTTTCAGCTGTCAGTGTTCTGGGCCAGCTCAGTTTTGCATCCAAATGTGGAGCGATGGCGATTTTTTAATGCTCGCCGTGTTATTGCTATTTCTCTCTTATGTGTGGGTGCTGGAGCTTTCGGCTCTTTGTCTTTAATTCTTTGGGGCCACAACTTTCACAAGCCCAGCTCAATGGATTAACTGCATGAGGTCATATCAATGCCCTGGATTTGATTTAGCCTGTCTGCGCCTCTCAGTCGATATAACTGGATGAATAATATCTCATGCGCCCAACCACGCCGCTTATATAAAAAGAAAACAAAACTGTCAAAGTCAGATCGCGTGAACAGTTCGTGACTTTGCAGTAATAATAGCGAAAAATGTATATGTGAATAATATAAATAAAAATAAAAATAAAGCAAACACAATAGAAAACTTACTAGAAAATCAAGCTGAATTTCAAATGCTCTTTGCAAGTTATATGAATCTCTGTAATGATGAATGATGAATTATGAAGTTACTGAGGATAGATCGAATAAACGATTTACTTTTAACTGATTGATTATCAACGTATAGGGATTAGGAAGCTATTATTTGAACAAATCTTTGTGAACGTTAAAAGATGATGAAAAGAAAAACGTTTAACTTTAATTTGAAGTGTAAATTCTATATAATTCTTATTATTCATCATCATTATTTTAAAATAGATGCTAATTTTTCAAAAGGTTTTCAATAAAAATATGTATAAATATAATATAATAATGCACAAAAGACATTCCTTGAACAATTCTTTAAACGTATTTTAGGAAGCAATGCAAAATAATCTCCATTAGGATTAAGATTGAAGACATGAAAATTAATCGTTTTACCAAAAAACACTATTAATTGTTGGATCGAATGTGTCCCCACCTATTATTTTTAATCTTAATCCAAATAATATATTCGTAAGTAGTTTTTTTCCACAAATTAGTCCAAGCGATTATCTTTAGTTCATCAAAAACTGTTAACGATTGCTAAACTATGGTTCTTTGCACCCAGTTTATCTTTGACTAATTCAAACTGAGATCGCTTGCATTAATAATTTGTTTATCTTTCTCCCACTTCTGTTATATTTCGATTATGTCTAAAAACACTCTGAATTAATTAAGTCCCAAGCTCCGTTACAAATTGGCCATATACAATCGGCCAGTGTATTGATTGCCTTTTTCTAAATAGATTACAAATTGACACTGAACGATTTGCCGAGTCGATATGCGAAATTCAACTCCTCCTCCTCCTCCTCCTCCTGTCCATCATCTTCGTCATCCGAATGGAAACGTTGTCATTCCAATTCATTTACAATGAACAATTTGGCCGCTGGCGACTTACAGTGCGCGCCATAAGTGCACGCACATGGATTATACAATCTGCAAATACGATAACATTTATAATACTTCATAGTTGCGCAGTTGTTGTTGTTGTTGTAGTTGTAGTTGCTTGGTATTAATTTTGCTAATCGCGTTTCGATCAATTTCATTTCAATTGTCAAACGCACAACAATGTTATGTGTGAGTGTGTGGGGACGGGGGCGGGGGCGGTGGCAATAGATGGGGTTGAGGGGGCGTTACCAGCTGAGTGACACTTTTGGACAGCCATGTCGCATGCGTCATGTTCAATATTTAAATTCTGTTTAGCTTGTAACGCATAAACAATCCAAGCAGTCGAGTCTGTTCCGTGTTGCCTTTTATTTCGGTTGCTCATACGCACAGTGGGTCGCGCCTCTGTGCGCCGCATACTAATTGCCGCGACTCATAGTTTGTTTATTGAAGCGCGTTGCAAATTTATATCGGGCCGCGCACAGCCTTAGATTTATGAAATGTTTAGTTTTTCGTGTGATTTAGTGCGAGGAAAATGATATCATGGCGAGTTTGGTAGGCTGTGACGTCACACAGCAGCGCCCACAGACATTGCAAGCGTTAAATGGGCGCAGCTAGCTACGAATTGAAGTGCTTGTTGCTGCTCTTGTTGTTGTTTTTGCAGATTGGTGGCGGCTCAAGCGCCAGCCGGCGGCAACAAGTTGAATCGATCGACAGCCTTGAAATGCGTCGCTCCAATAGACAGCGGCTTCGCCTGTCACTCACCCACGCACCACAACAACAACAATAGCAACAACAACTATCATAATAACAATAACAATTCCAGCAACAATCAGCAAACTGGCGCCAAAATCGACTACGCTCAATTTGCGAACTCCACTTTGGAGCTTAAGACCTCAAGTTGTTATATGATCCAAGATCTTTGGCAGAGAAGCGATTACAACGATTTTGATATTTTCTTAATTAAATTAAGTCACAAGGCAATGCCTGATTGTTGTGGGCATATACATAAATATATATGTGTATACATAGATGCAAATATTATATGTGACGAAATTTATGACACTGAGTGGGTTCGTTATTCCTTTATGGCTCATTTGTATCATAAACATCATATAAGTATAATGTATATGAAGAAACAAACATCGCTGACTCGAATGTGATTTGTTTATTGATTGATTTTATATTAATTACTTTTATATATATTTTATATCCTATTTTTATACCCTGAACCCATTTTCAATGGGAAATCAGGGTATAATGGTTTTGTTGAAATGTATGTAACAGGGAGAAGGAGGCGTGGCAGACCCCACAAAGTATATATATTCTTGATCAGGGTGACGAGCTGAGTTGATTTGGCCCTGTCCGTCTGTCTGTCCGTCTGTCCGTCTGTCCGTCTGTCCGTCTGTCCGTATGTATGAACGCGTCGATTTCAGAAGATATAAGAGCTAGAGACTTCAAATTTTTTTTAAAATGTCCGTAATTACAGCGCGCATATCAAGTTTATCATTAAAAATCGATAACTCATCTCGATCTTTTTTATCGATAAAAAACCTTATCGAAACCCAGTTATAAAATTATATCTTCTACACCTTTATTGCTAGAGTCTCCAAATTTTTAATGTATGCTTATATGCAATTTATACAATTTCGATTTTTGTTAAAATTTACCCCCCACCTCTAAATTCACCCCCTCACCCTCACTTTTGTAATAAGCGTATTTCAAATACTAGAGACTTGTGCTTTGGCAATTACATGCATATTCATGTTATAATTATAATCTGAAAGTTTCATGAAGATCGTACGTCCATAAAAAAAGTTATTAAACAATTAAGTTCTCATAGTAAGCGCACACTGCAGCCCATGCGTGTTTATGCGTAGTTGCTTGTGTGTGTATGTGTTTGTGTATGTGTGTGTGTATGTCTGTGTATGCGTTTGTGTATTTATGCGTGTGTGTGTGTATGTGTGTCTGTATGCGTGTGTATGCCTGTGTGTGCGTACGTGCGTGTGTGTGTGTGTGTGTGTGCGTGTTTCTTATGTAAACTGAAAGTCGCGAAAAATTATTGAAATATCTATTGCTCCAAGGGTTCAGGGGATCTCGTAGTCGAGCAGTCTCGACTAGAGCTTTCTTACTTGTTCATTAATATTATAGCTATGCTTGCAAACTAAACAAAAAAATTAATAAAAAAAAAAAAAAAAGTTAAATATGGGATTTTTCCCATATTTTAATACAAATAAAAATATAATTTTAAATAATATTTTGTAATAAATATTAAATATTTATTATACTACTTATATTTTTAATTAGATATGTACATCATATTCATATTTTAATCATATTTTAAATTTAAATCAGATTTTGTCTCAATACTAAACTTAAACCACATATATAATTTGTAATGTATTTGCTTAAATATACATCTATTAATATACATATATCACATTTTTGCCATAATACTGGCAATCAAAAATATGAATGCAAATATAATTACACATGAGTATAATTACTGATTGACGGAATGATCATTGCCACATGTGATATAATAGCTAGCTGTTAAGAAACTAGTATGCTTGTCAGTCTAGAGAGTAAGTACAAGTACGTTAGCTTCGCCGTCGGGTTTTGTCGGAAAACGTAAGCTGAAATGCAGCTAAGCGATTTCGAAAATTTAAATATCAAGGCAAACATCAAGCCGAAGAAATAACCCTTTCTAAAATATGAAGCACACGATGTCTCAAGTATCGCACTTCAGATTATAGCATCAATCGATAATGGCATAAATTATAGCAACAGCAGGCGAACTGAATTTTGAACTTTAGAATGCGGCAAACATTTGCAATTAGTTTTAATTATATCAGTTCTATATATAGTACATTCGGATATATGTATGTATATACATACATATTGTCAGCCTAGGCACAATCGATTTGGCGCGTGACTGTTGCGGGTGGTCAAAATGAAATCGGCTTATGGTGCCCGAAAGTGCTCCAAGAGTGCCCATAAAGTAGATTACTTCTAACAGCCATGACAACCAACGGCTTTGCAGCGCGACGCCCCAGACGAGAGTCAACCTCTGCGTCTAGGCGGCCAGTCAGTTGCTGCCCCGTTCCCATAGGCAAGAGCCTATGCTTCGTGGCAGTCGAGCCGATGCCAGCCGATGCCGGCCGACAGCAGCCGAACTGCGAAACGAAGCGCCGAACCGTTGGGCCGTTTGAATTTGAAGTTTTTTAAACCGTCAACTAAAAGCACTGCGATTTTAGTGGCACTCGAGCCAGCTGAGCAAACGGACGTGCGATAGAGAGAGATCGGTCGAACGATAATAATCATCAGTCATCATTCAGTTAACAGCCACGAACATCGGAAGTGCAGGCGGGAGCATCAGCAGTCGGCGGAACTAATTAAACTCGCTAAATAAAAAAAGAGCATAAAAACGATTTGTCTATTAACGGCGCATCTTTTGGCGCAATTTTCCGTTCGACTTCAACGCGCTCGGGCGTGATGTCGCTGGCAGCAACTGCAACAGCAACAGCAGCAACAGTTGCCAAATATTGTGTATACGCACTGCAAGCCGGCCCAAAGTAAATGAAAAGTCCGGCAAAAACAAAATTCTCGTGGGGCAGCATCTGTGTTAGACCCACCTGCCTGCAATTATTAATATTCAACTAAAGTGCGCGAGATTACATTATAACGAGTGTGCAACAAGTAACAGCAGTAAATCATGTATCTGGAGAGTGTGCAACTGTTCACGGTGAGTAGGGTAAAGGAAGTGCTCTGCCGTATACGTGTGTGTAGTAGAGTAAACATCCTTGGTATAAAATCAGCGAATAGCAGCGATTGTCAGCAACGAAATCAAAGAAATTAAACGTAACTTGAGTGCAAGTCAATAAACGAAACGAATTCACATGGCATCCGTATTGAGCTCGTCGCAACGGTTCTTGTTCTTCAGCAAATACGTTGCCAAGTAGCTAACGGGATCTGTGGGTCGATCGCGGGCCAGGGCCTGCAATCCGTGTAGCAGAATGGGCGCCACCGTCTGATCCAGATACTGGCGCACCGTCAGTGAGTTCACATCCGGGCGGGGCTTCCGGCAAATGGGCAACGGGTTCTGCATGTCCGTAATAGCTGCGTTCGGCACATCCTTGAACGAGGACTTGGCGGTCATGTCTTCCGACATGATGGCCGCTTTTCAGTCCTTACCTCTAAAATGAATAAATATTTTTTATTATTTATTTTTTTACTGATGTGAATCAAATTCTCTCACCACAAAAAGAAAAAAAAAAAGGAAATAAATGTTAAATTTAAACGTGTAATACTTTTGAAAATATTTATTTTGTTTTAAGTGTCGATTTGAGATGTGTTCACTTTAAGGTTTTCTAAACGAATGCCTGACAATTTCATTTAGCTTGTGGGTCATGAATTTTCATGGCCATCTATGGTAATTTCGTTTTTAAATTTTCAATAAATATTGACGTAAAACGAAAATCATCTATGAGCTTAGTCATTTTTTAAAGCATCGTTCTGTTTTTCTTCTCGAGTCGGCAGAAGCCATTTTGGGCACTTAAAATGCTAATTTTATGACACTTTCAAATGGTTCCCACAACTTTATTTTCTAGTTAAGCTGTAGCACTAAATCTATCAACAGCAACGCTTCGGCTACAGCACAGCAAAAATTTCAAAGTCGTTTGTTTTCAGCCGCACTTAGAGACAAGATTTAAGAGAAACGTTGCACTTACGTTGATTTATTAATTCATTTGCTTTTATCTCGATTATTGTGAAATTCAGAATTGCCAACATAAACGAGCAATTGTCATTGCGATTGTTTCTGTGCTTGCCTAATTAAGCAATTACAAAAGGAAACAAGTTAAGATCATAAGCGATTCACCGAATGAGTTGGGCAACACACCTGACACCCAGGCAGAGGTATTAGGTGCTGCCTTAGCATGAAACAAGCATTAAATCTTGTTAGATCAATGCCAAGTCACCAGTGTGGAATACGTTTAGAAGCTGTGTAAAACAGATGCCAATATATTGCAATCAAAGGCTTAAGTGCTACTTGTTTTCGTTTCATTGGCTGCTGCCGTTGCTTGAATAATTTACGCATATTAAACGTACTACTCATGTGGAAGATATGCAAAGGTACGAAATAAAATAAAAATAAAACAACACAAACGATTAACATATATATTTTTTTATTTCTGTTTTTTTTTTTTTTTTTTTTTGCCATAAACAAACCTGTAGTTTTTGACCCATATTAGAGTTGCCTGGTTGAATTTGAATATAAAAAGAATTGAGTGGATAGGCAAAACGCTATTTCTTAACAGTTAGCAGTGGGCATCGTAATTTAATCAATCTTCAAAAATTCAAAAAACATCATGAAAATTTCAACAAAAATCGTGTAGTACGATTTCCTTACGATGAGACAGCAACCGCTTCGGGCTTCCCCCGATATTGATCTCGGCGCTGAACTAGCGTGGAATATGCACAAACAGCGCAGAGTAGAGACGGAGAGTGGAAAAGCGAAATAATAATAATATGAAAAGCAGCGTAGCAAAGGTCACTGGCATCGTCTAGCCGAAAAGATAACGAAGATACGAAGGTGATAATGATGATGCTGCTGCTAATGAGTACGTGCTGATGCGTGGAATACGCCGTGTCTTACGATGAATGGATTGCATGTGTGTATTTGAGATGTGATCTCTGGTGGGCAGAGAGCCGCAGCACGTGGGCAGGGCAAACCTTTCCCTTGAAAGGCAACAAATCAAACAAATTGCAGCCGCAATTGCGCAAATTGGCAGCGCGCTCAAGACAAGTCCAAGACTGGTCCAAGATAAGCACTAAAAATGCAAATGAGCAGCTGTAAAAGCAAAAGCAAAGCGAGGTAAAAAAAAAAATATATATTTGTTAATATGTATTTGAAATGGGGCAGCAAAATTAGCGCAACTGAATTAATTAACAACTGTAGCATTTGTTTGTGTCTGCGGATTACTTGCCTGACCTTGACATACAGAGAAAGGGAGTGAGACCGAGAGAGAGAGAGAGAGAGAGATACAGAGAGAGAATGGGAGATAAGCTATCAGATTGAGTGACAGCAAAAAAATGAAAAGATTTGCGGTTTCAGTCGAGCAATTATGTAAACTCTCCACAAAAGTCTGACCTCATGTGTGCCAGACTATTTTTAATTCGCTCATTTCTCATTTCTGATTTCTGCATTTCACAATTACATATTATTAAATATCATTTCAAATGTAACGTGCCGCTGAGCCAGCTCGAGGCACCCAAATCAATGAAATTTGGCTTGGCATTTTGTTTTGCATTTTACGCATAAATTATTTATCCATAAATTTTTGAACGCCCCATAATGAAGCTTGATTAAAATCGCATTTCGTGAATAGTCAAAAATAAAGCCCACCGAAATAACAGCAACTTTATTTATTTTTTTCCCTTCTTTGTTTTTTTCTTAACAATGATGCTGCAATTTTTTGTTTTATTGGCTGACCCAATTGCCCAAAGTGCGGCTAGGGCAAAAGGCGCAAAGAAATGTTTACGGAATGCCTAAAAGAAGAGGGAAAATTTATTGAATTCTTATTAGTTGGTTCACACGCCCCGTTTTAACTGGAATTTCTCACTTAACTCAATTAGCTGCACAATATTTGTAGCCAATTCGCAAATTTTAATGGTGCTTCAAACAAATTAGCCACAGCTGCTGTTTAAATTTTTATGACCATGTTCAAGTGCATGAATTACGGGTCAGGCAGTGAGTCCGTTTGAGTAATGTGGGAAGATGACGCGCCTGGGAGTCGACATTTTTGGGTAGTTTGTGGAGCAATACAATTATTTTTCGGTTACCTGAATCATCTGAGATCAACTCTATGTGAGAAGAAGACATTAATATAAACTACAATAGTATATAAATTCAGTAATACACTATATTGTTAAATAAAAAGAGCTGGACTATCATTACCACATTCTCATTGTGAGGCCTGTGATATTTATAATTAACTAATTGTAATCACATTCATTTTAATTAGCATCAACCTTTTGTATTTGCTTTAATTATTGTTTATGGTATCTTAACAATACGAGTTCCAAAATTCATTAAAAATATTATTATGAGCATCATCATCAATATTATTATTGATAACAGTATCAAATAATTTCGATCCATATATATTAAAAGTTAATTTAAATTTTAACAGTTCATAAAATTATTCCGATCGTATTCATTATACAAATTAGCTTCATTTAACATCCTTATTATCATCAATACTGTCATAATCATTGACAAGATCACAGAAATCTTACACATTATGATCGTATAAACACTTCATCAGCATTCAGTACCACATACATATGCATAAGTCAACATCATTATCATCTTATTATCACTATCATTTTTTTATCTTTAAAAATGATTAATATTATTTAAGAATTATTATATATGCAGGTCAGCAGGTCATCTGCCGCAGGCTAATCCCATACAGTATCTCTAGAGTGAACTTTAGGTCAATTCTTGAGTACTAAAAATATAAATTCGAATAGTAGGCGGACATTTATAAGTTGTTACCTCAACCATAGATATGTGTATAAATGTGTGTGTGTGTTGATATAAAATTTTCTGTATTATGTATTTCCACACAAGAGGCATACTCGGCTGACTTGTTTAGAATGAGTTTCGAGTATGAAAAGGCAATCAACGTCTAATAAATGGATAATTTACCTGTTTACATGAAAACCATATTCTGTTCTCATTTAGCACTTGAGTAGGTGTCAAATGCTTTGAGCAACTGAGGCAAGTGAGAATTCGCCAGCTGAATGAAACAGACGACTCAATACTCTAAATGAATAGTACATACATTTGCTATATCAACTATGAAATTCACATGAAGAATTTTTGGATATACTAACCTGAGCATGTTGCATACCTTTTCATAACTTAATGCTTAGAGGTAGTCTGTCATGTTTGCTCATTAGGTTTATTATAGTTTGTGTACCTTGCCTACATAGAGTACAATATGATATGTATATATGCACTTTGTACTTTGATTTCAGATTCTGTACATTTTTCCGCTGACATAATAATTTTCCATTAGTATGCCTGCGACTGCGACTGCGACTGCGGCTCACGCCTTGTCGCACTTCTGTCTCAAATATTTCAGCGAGAACAACTGACAGCCGCAACTGGAAGTTGTTAGAGTGCAAACAAGACAACCACGCGATACTGTGTCCCTGTGCCCACACACGGTGTCACGGCAGCACCATAGTGGCACCATAGTACCACGGTACGACAGTGTCGCCAGATAGCGCGTTAGCTTTTGTTGGCTTGGTTTATCAAAGACTTATAGCCAAGGTGTAGCCCACGCATCCACGAATGAGTCTCTCCACACAATGGAAATGATCAAGCTGAGCTGAGTCGTTAAAACTATGCCAAAGTCACGCTGTCGTTGGCCCTTAGGAAAGTCAAATGAGCAGCCTGCATTATCACACACACACAAACACACACACACACGCACATGCTGCATTTGGTTGGCGAATAGTTTGGCGTTTTGATCAGTGACTTTGGTATTTGACGCAGCGGCATTTTGCATAAAATGCAACATTGCTGACACAGTTCACGGCTCGGCGCCCAGCCCAAAGCAACAGCAACTGCGACAGCAACAGCAACAGCAGCTTGTAAACGCTGCCAAAATGCTTTTCCCACATGGTCTTATCTGTGAGATACTCATACGTGCATGCATACGAAGTTCATTT